CAGAGCGCTCTGGCGCTGCTGTAGCCTCCGCGGCAGGGCTTGCCTTTGGAAGGCTTGTGCCTTTGTTTCCTGCTTGGCCGGCAGATTTCCTTTCCTGAGTGATACTTGTCTCACTCAGGTGCCTGGGCAGCGTGCCGCCCCCAAGGGGGCTTTTGGCAGGCTTTCTTGCAGCTCGGGGAGCTGTCCAGCTCACTTGCGGCTGCTGCTGTAGGGAGATGAATTATTCCTATTTCTTTCCTTAAATTTCTTTCCAAATTATCGGAGATCCAGTTAAGGGACTGAGTCGATAACTGGGCGGTTATCAAGAGCTTATCTGACTCAGTCCAATCAACGAGAGGATAAGGTCAACCCATCCTGGATAGTCCTCCCCTCACTATGGAGAACATGGCCATCAATTTGGTTGCTTTCAAAGTCCTAAAGGAAAAAGTATTTAATTGCCATGATAGCTACAATCTCAGGGATCCTAAGTCATATTAAAGGCATTTTACTGAGAGTGTGAAATTATGTTTATTTTCTTATACAGGCTACCTCTATGAAACGTGAGATGTCTGTGGATGTTAATTGAGATGGATCTTTGTTATGATGCTCTTCTCTGGCTTTTAATGTACAGATGGTCCTCTATTTATAACCATTCATTTAGCAACAATTCAAAGTTACAAAATCACTGAAAAAAGTGACTTACGACCAATCCTCGCATTTGTTACAGTATTCCCATTGTCATGTGAGCAAAATTCAAGAGGCTTGGCAACCAACATCTAGCTACGATATTCTAGCAGCCTGGGGTCATGTGATCGCTATTTGAGTCCTTCCCACCCAGCTTCCAACAAGCAAAATCAATGGAGGAAGCTGGATTCCTTTAATGACCGCATAATTCATTTAACTAGTACAACTTTTACAGTCATAAAATTGGGCACAACTCACTTAACAACCATCTTCTTAGCAATAGGAATTCTGCTCTCAATTGCGGTCATAAATCAAGGACTACCTATCCCTACTCATCTATTCTGCTTATTGTGTCAGATTTTTTCATCTGCTAACTTCCAAACTATGAATAAATATAAACTCTTTTTAAAGAACTCTGCATAGTAATCTCACTGGCAATGCTAGATGCTTAGTATCTTTGGTAACCTTAAAATCATTCCTTTTAATTTTATTTTAAAAAATCTCTTCTTACTCAGTACACTGAGTGTTTCTATACCAGAGACAAATTCCTTGTGTATCTAACCACAGTTGCCAAATAAAATAGTTTATTCTTATTCCATTCCATTCCATTCTTCTTAAAAAAGAACCCATTTACTCAATATTTTACTTGTGAAAAAAACCTTAATCCTCTAAAACTAGAAAAAAAACCATTTGCAATTTCAGAAATGAAATTACACAAAACTATTATGCACAAATAGCACTTAACCCTGCCAAATTAAACTACACAGAAGAATGCCACATGAAAATTAGTTAAGAATTCACATTGTAGCTATGTGTTTCTTTGCCAGGTTAATTAATATCAGTGCAGGCCATCCCTGAATTTTCATAAAACACTGTAATTGGCATTATTAACATATTCTGATGAAATAAAAAGTGTACATGCAACATTTTTTTTAATCTTGAGCAAGAGAAATCATAGACAAAACCTGCTTCATATTTCTCACAGTGAGCACTTTGCCATACCCACACAAAAACCTCTTAGGAGCTCATCCTAAAATACTGAACAAGCATCAGGAACCAACAGTCAATGAACATTCAGCAATGTACATAAAGTTCTTGCTGCACAATTTACAGTAAGAATTATGGAAACTGACCCTCTAGCAAAAAAATTAACAAGAATAACAAAATAACAGTTAGAAAGGGACCTTGGAGGTCTTCTAGTCCAACCCCCTGCTCAAGCAAGAAACCCTCTACCATTTCAGACAAATGGATGTCCAATCTCTTCTTAAAAACCTCCAGTGTTGGAGCACCCACAACGTCTGGAGGCATTGAGTGAAATAACTGCATGAGTTTCCGTCAGGAACATTCTAAAGGCATGCAGAGCATCCCATTTTCAAAATACAAATGACACCAAGAACTCCACAAGTTACTTTCTGCATTTTCCCAAACAAAGAAAAATACACTGAACAGATGCAAGAATCCATAAACTCAATTTACAATGACTTTAAAACGAAGTCAGTGAAGGTCACACATGGTCCACAATGGAAGACAAGTAAGTGCCTATTTCCCTAAATTTCAAAGTAATACTGATATATTTATATTTTCCTAGTTAAATCATAAAACAGTGAATAAGCTCTCAAATTCCTTTGGTCCCGCAGTCAATCCTAATAAAAGGTTCAATCGCATTATGACCTTTTCCATTTATTTTTTTAATGGACCAATATAGCTACATGGCATTACTGTCATGATTCCAAAAATTATTTTAATAAAAGACATTTGCATGGCATTTATTTGCATCTCTTCTCTGAGAGAGCTACAACTGAGTTGACAGTGGCCAAAGAGAAGGATCAAAAGCAACTCTGCCTTCATTGATACCGGCACATACAAAAATGAAAGGAAGATTTTATATAGGAATGGTTGTAGAAGCAGAGTTTATTCCAGGAAGTTGCAAATGCATGAAAATCAGTTCTATCGCCAAGTAATATTTGCACTTGAGTGAAAAATCAGTTCATCGCTTCCTCTTTTTCTATTTACAGATAGTCCTCGACTTTCGACCACAATTGAGCCCAAAATTTCTGTTGGTAAGAGAAACAGCTTTTAAGCCAATTTTGCCCCATTTTATCTTTATTGCCACTGTTGTTAAGTGAATCACCGTAGTCATTAAATTAGTAACACAGTTGTTACGTGAGTCTGGCCTCCCCATGGACTTTGCCTGTAAAAAGGTCAAAAAAGGTGACCAACATGATCCTGGGACAATGCAACCATCATGAATATAAGACAGTTGTCAAGCATTTGAATTTTGAGCACATGACCATGGGGATGTTGCAACGGTTGTGTTAAAACCAGTCATAAGTCACTTTTTTCAGTGCTCTTGTAACGTTGAACAGTCACTAAATGAACTGTTGTTAAGTCGAGAACTACCTGTACATCATACATACATTTATATATATATGTATGCATATGCATCCACGGAGAGAGAGAGAGGGAGGGAGGGAGGGAGGGAGGGAGAGAGAGAAGGCTACAGAGAAAAAGAAAACAGAAAAAAATCATTAAGATACTTTACCTTTTATTGATAGGTTTTTCATCTTTCTCATAAGGCTTCACAAACCACTTCCCAATACGGACAAAATTCCGGTTCATTAAGCATCTTTCCACCAGGTTGTGAATTGCTTTGAAGAGCAGAGTTCGGCATTCATAGGAAAGCCCGTTTTCCCATACACCGTCTTCCTCATCTGCAGGGATTAAACAAACCTAAATTAATATCAAGCTTTCAACAGAAGCTAAGAGTAGAGCGACCATTACTAAGGGCAATAAATATGATGACTTGTGTAAGAGCCATCCTAATAGTTTATGTTTAAGTCAGGGGTGGGTTTCACATTTTGTTACCACTGGTTCGCCGCGTGCACACCCGCTCCCTTTGTGCATGTGCTTTGCTCATGCGCTTGCCTTCGGTGCATGCGCCCGGCCTATTTCCACTACCGGTTGAGGCGAACTGAACCAACTGAATACTACCTCTGCTTTAAGGCCACCTGATATATAAATACATGAAGGAGTCTTTTTGGCTTTCCGATAGGCAGCAAAATCTCTATGCTCTCAGAACAAGACATTTTTTTTCCAGCTCTTGAACAAAAATCATCTTTTTGTTTAAGCAGAAGTGTCAGGGATTTGCTATGCCAGTGAAGTATAAACGCGTTTCTTCTACTCAGCCACTGTTAAATTTTAAACTACAAGGTCTTTGAGACAAAGCTTTCCTTCATTGTTACCATAACTAGTCCTTGATTTATGACCACAATTTCCATTACTAAGCAAGGTGGTTGTTAAATAAGACATGCTCCATTTTATGACCTGTTTGGCCAAGGTTCGCTACACAGGAATGTTTAACGACTGCCTCATTTGCTTAACAACCATCCTCTATACTGGAGAGAAATACCTTGTATGTTTAACCACTTGGTCAATGAAGTAAGATAATGATACTGTTTGCTTAATGACCATCGAATTCACTGAATGACAGACACACACACACACACACATATACACACACAAAGCCACAGAATCCAATCCAGTCACGTTGGTGCCTCACAACTGTGACTGTAATAGAAACATTAGAAGTTCCATGCTCAGTTATGGTCAGAAGTCAAAGACTACCTGTATTATCAGTTACTTGGAGGGGATCTTGGCGTCCAAGTGGACAATTACTTGAATAGGAGCCAGCCGTGTGCTGCAGCTGCCAAAAAGAGCCAATACAGTTCTAGGCTGCATTAAAGAGGAAATAGAACCAAGATCACGTGAAGTGTCAATGCCACTTTATAAGGTATTGGTAAGGCCACACTTGGAATACGGCATCCAGTTTGGGTTGCCATGAGGTAAAAAAAAAAAAGATGTTGAGACTCTAGAAAGAATGCAGAGAAGAGCAACAAAGAGGATTAAGGGACTGGCTAAAACATATGAAGGATGGTTGCAGGAACTGGGCATGGCTAGTTCAATGAAAAGAAGGATTAGGGGAGATATGATAGTAGTGTTCCAATATCTCAGGGGTTACCACAAGGAAGAGGGAGTCAAAAAAGCTATTATTCTCCAAAGCACCTGAGGGCAGAACATGAAGCAATGGGTGGAAACTAATTCAGGAGAGAAGCAACTCAGAACTAAGGAGAAACTTCCTGACAAGGAGAACAATTCACCGGTGGAACAACTTGCCTTCAAAACTGTGAATGCTCCAACCCTGGAAGTTTTTAAGAAGAGGTTGGACAACCATTTGTCTGAAGTGGTGTAGGCCTTATACTATAGGGTTTCCTGCCTAAGCAGGGGTTGCACCAGAAGACCTCCAAGGTCCCTTCCAACTGTACATTAATTCTATACTTTGTACTTTTAATATAGAAACATTACTATTTATGAATTCATAGGTTGAAAATGACAAGCACATTCAACAAGGCAATCATAGGTAAATAAAGAAGTGTCCCTGCAGCCTCATCAATGCTCATTAAAACGTTTAAATAGCAGAACAATAGTTGAATCCCATTACTATACATACACAAACAACTAGTACCAAGTATTGGATTTTTAGTACAGGTAGCAGTCCTTGACTTACGACAATTGAGCCCAACATTTCCATTGCAAAGCAAGACAGTTAAGTGAGTTTTGCCCTATTTTATGATTTTTCTTGCCACAATTCTTTAAGTGTGTCACTGCAGTAATTAAGTTAGTAGTACGGTTGTTAAGCGAATCTGACCTCCCCATTGACTTTGGGTTTCAGAAGGTCGCAATAATTGATCATGGGACTTTGAGACACTACAACTCTCATAAACACATGCCAGGTTTCCAACAACTGAGTTTTGAGTATGTGACCAAGGGGATCTTCAACAGTCATAAGTGTGAAAAACAATCAAAAGTCTTTTTCCCCCCCAGTGATATTGTAACTTTGAACAGTTATTAAACAAATGGCTGTAAGTGGGGGACTACCTCTATGCACTCCTTTCTGTGCCCAGCAACCAAGAATACTGCCAGCCTCCAGCAGGCTGGTAACAGATTCTGCAAACTAGTAATCATTGTAAATGTTTTTGTAAAAACAGCCACAAGTTACACTCTTTTTGTAAACATCCTCTTAGTTATTTCATGGCCCTTACCATTTGTTTTTGAAACACAAGTCATAAGCATTATCCACGATGTAGAAAAGATGTGCAGAGAAGAGCAACAAAGATGATTAGGGGACTGGAGGCTAAAACATATGAAGAGCGGTTGCAGGAACTAGGTAGGTCTAGTTTAATAGAAAGAAGGACTAGGGGAGACATGATAGCAGT